CTCATCAGTGTTCAAGGCCTCAAACCTGTTCCTGAGATGATTCTGAAATTCAGGTGGTATGAAATTAAAGTCATATTTTGGCTCCTGTGGATTCGGTTTAATTTTCCTCAGCTTCAGCTTGAACTTGCATGTGAGTAGTTCGTAGTCTGTTCCAAAATCAGCTCCTGGCCTAGTTTTCACAGCTGATACTTCTTTAAATCTGAACATTCAGATTAAGACAGACTAGGAAGAAGGATTTGGCCATCCACTTCTGAAATAGCAGGCCTCCGAAAACCCTAACCTATTTTACAACTACTGTATCAAAATCTGTATTGTAAAAACATCATTGAAGGAAACGAGAGAACACCACCTTTTCTTAGGTCCCCTTAAAGATATTTGTCTAATCCATCTTGAAGGTAGTCACAACCATCTGTCTTAAAAACAATCTCTGGGTTAAAATCAAGTCTTTCTCTCTAAATAAATACACAGACCTGAAATGTAAAATCAAAATGATGATATTCAAGAATATGAAGGTATGTTTCACAGCTTATCAATAAACTAATGGTCTCTTGAATATTTACGCCATAGGTCACCGAGACACCAATGAGGTCTAAAACTGGCCATGCCATGGTTTCCTGGTGAAAACCACAGGGAGACCCTTCTGGTACTGAAATCAGAGAACAAGGCCCTGATAGCTATGCATTTTCTATACTTTCAGCTCTGCACTGTTGTGTCAAATCCAGGAAACTCATAAGCAGCAGCACTGATCCCAACTCATTGTGACCTTTTAACAACAAGAGTGGAATCGCCCCATAGTTTCCAAAGCTGTATTCCTTAGGGAAGCAGACTGCCACATCATTCCTTTAAGGAGCAGCTGGTAGCTTCAAACTGTTGACTCTGGATTAGTAATGAGTGCTTTAACCACAGCTTGCCAGGTCTGCTGTGTCAGAGTCTAAAAACATCACGTGTCAAGTCTAGAGCTACTTCTACTTTTTCAGTCAAGGTCCTCTACCTCCTCACTCTTTGAACATCTCAGGATTCTTTCCAGCCAGATATTTTTTATTGCCTTTTCATGAATTTTCATGCCCTCTGAGGCACCGAGAGCCTCAAGAACACTGCTATTCATAAGATACTGTGAAATAATCCCTGTGGACCATTTTTAATGAGTGCAAAAGATGCAACCTTCTGTCCCCTCCCAAAAGAAGTAAAAAAATAACAAAACCCAGGCATAGAAAATACTAGAAATAATGTGAGAGGGGAGAAAACATGAAAACAATGATACATCAGTGTTTATTAAAACATTTATTTTTTTTCCTCTCCATATTGAAACCTGTGGAGCACATTAGAAATTTAGGTTTGCATCTGTCTTGTTTGGTGTCTTACCAAGTATCAATTCTGTCTGTACAACAGCTCTGAGAGGAAATCCTTGGCAGATCAATATAGAGGGTAGCACTTCATAGACCTCCATTTTAAACAAATAAATTAACCTCTTAGTTATGCTCAGCCCCCATTCTATACCGTTTGTGAGTAAAACCTTGTTTTCCTAAAAACCTGCGGCATTACAGTACCCAGTCTCTACCTTTTTTACCACTTAGACTTGAGGATTCAAGGGAGAAAAACTGGCCTGCTCTGGCAGGGTAAAGCTTCCGGAAATCAGTCCATCTGACACACAGAGCTGCTCAGTACCTGCCTCATGAATGGTGTGGTGCCAGGGACTGCTCGCCCTTGTACTATCTAAACCCCAGGTAACCAGCAACAGAGGCCAGTGTTTGCTGTGCCAAAATAAATACACTTTCCAGCTAGAATACAGATACAACCATATATACACATACACCGTTAACTCACACTTCCTGAAGCTCAGGAACACAGGATGACTCACAGAAGATAGGAGTGACTTGCTGCTTTACTCACATTCAGCTGTTGTCAACTATAGGTCAAACAGAGTTAAGATGGCAGGGGAGGGGGCTGAAGGAGTATGGTGGACAGAGAATGAAAGCCAGTCTTTCTAAAAGAAAAGGTTAAGAATGGATTTCATGGGAAGACCATTTTGCTTTCAAGTGGTAGTAAAAAACTGCCATTATATGATTCATTTCTTCCAAAATAATCCACAGTTGATGGACCTGAATTCGTCCACTTCCTTCGTACAATTCCTTTGACACAGTGATGCTGAATGATTGCAAACAGGGAGCACTGCCTCACGTGCACAGGACTGAACAGCACGCTGAGCAACACCATGTCCATCTAAGAGTTTATTTTGCAAAGAAAGTTATTTACACCACTCCTTAAGTCTATGATGCAGATTCATATTGAAAAAGTTTCAAAATGAAACTTCTATCCACACTTCCCCTACTTAAACTTTTGAATAAATATTTTTAAGAAGTGGGAGAAGGGCATGAAGCGGCAGCCAGTTCTGAGTCTCCTTGTTATCAAATAATCCTGAGACATTGGGCACACCCAACACAGGGCTGATCAGACAGCAGGACCATCCAGGAACTTGTTCTGATTGTAACAGCACTAAAGGCTAATGAACAGCATAAATATTGAAGAGGATAGTGTTATAAACCTTTGCAAAAAACATCTACACCTCCCTTTCGCTCTTTTCTCCCCTAAAGAGAACTTAGTGTTCATGAAATTTAGGTCTGTAAACTTGGCTTCCTCCCAAGATACATACTTTCTTGCTTAATGCAATCCTGGCTTAGAATATATATTTGTTTCTCAGAAGCCATTACATGTACCACTAAAGTTTAACTATTACTGATCCAAACACCTGTTAAAATGAGTTAAAAAATGAGTAAGGAAGAGAATAAAATGATACATTGTCCACAGAACTGCAGGGACGAGACCTTTTTCAAAGTCTGTTTTCCCCATCAGCAGACTTTTCTGCTGTAATGTAACCAGGTTGGGTTTCAGCAAGGTTTAGTAAAAGGGATATTTGGAAGAACAATGACCCACAATCTGTTTCAACTCACGTTTATCAAGAACAGAGTTCACTTCTTTCTACGGTCCCCCAGCTTGAGGGGAAGTACCATCCAAAGTATTCTCAAACTGAACTGTAAATTTTCCTGGATACACACTCAGCAAGACCAAAGATCAAGTTAAATGTCTTTTTTTTTCTTTTGGTGCTGAAACCCAGTCAACACTGCTTTATATTAACAGTATTTCAGTGTTCTGTGCTAGTATGTACCTTTTTCCCTCTAGTGTACGATTTTTTTCATTTAATATTGTATCACAAGTATACTCTAATGGCATTATTCTCCTATATTCTTTAAGTATGTATCTTTTTAACTGCACTCCATTTTTTTTTTAGTTTTCATTACTTGGGCCATTCCATGTCCATCTCCACAGCACAAAAGTACCCTAACTTGACGCTTTTTAAAAGTAGTTATAGGTTCCCTTTGAAATGAGAGATTTCTGGGGCACATATTCTAAAGCTGTGTTTAAAAGTGTGGGTACCAAGAATTTGTCTCCAATGACTGGCTTTAGTTTAACCTGTTCAAATACTAGTCTCTGCTTGAATGAAGCACAAAATGGAATGGCACCCAGACAAGACACAGAAGAACATGCAGCTCCAAGCACACAGGCAAGTGGGCACACGGGCCTGGCCTCTCAGCCCTGTGTTTACTGCAATAGCTTCCCTGTCAAAATCACTTTGCCAGGACTCAGAAGTCAGTCTTTGTTTCAGCAACCTAAAGTTTAAGTGTGCTCAGTGGAGATGGAAGGATAACACTACATCATGGGCTCCTCACGAGAGACTAAAAGATGAAATGAGATTCTGACATAAATAAAAAATTTAAGGCTCCTCATGGTAACCTTCTCCCTGCTAAGGCTCAGAAGGTTTAATCTCTTTGTTTTGAGCGGCCAAATCACAAGCTGAGTCTAGCCACCAGGCCACCAGCGGGGTGTGCACTGTCGTTTGCAGAAGTGAGCTGGCTTTTCTTGCAAGGAAGGCACGAATGGGGTTGCCAATCTCTGAGGAACAGCAGCTTCAATGGTCCAATGCCTTAACGGCAGAGGTGGCGACTCATCTCCAAAGAGAAAAGAGGATGGTAGAGCTCACAGGCAACTTCTAAATCAAGGCATGGTTTCAATCTGCTTGGTTGATTCAGAAAGAAATTTGCTTGCTTTGGGCTAAAGGGGAGGGGGATAGTCTCCACGGAGAATCAACGTTGGGATGTAACTGTTCTCTCTGCAGACCAATTTTTGGTTAATTTGAACACAGGTGTGAGACCCAAGTTTTACTCAGATGCAAAGTCACCTTTGCCCCTTCCACATACCTGAAGTATACACAGGGAACTAGTTTTCATTAATGATCTCAGAATGTGATTCCATTATCTCCCAAATCTGGTTCTACCAAGTGGATCTCTCTCCTCTCCCCTCTCACTTCCTCCTGAAGAATGATCAAAAGGACAACTATGCAGCTGGCAAGAACAGCGTCTCTGCTTTTGCCCTTCTCTCCAATTCTAACCCTTTAAAATACATCCCCTCTGATAGAAAGTGCTATTTTGGCTCAATAGAATATAAGGTTTTATTTGCTGCCACTCCTTAGGAGGCAGTAAGCTTTCCAATTTGTCTAGTCCTGGTAAAAAAAGGACACAAGAGATTGCAAATCCACAGGTGTGGAGAAAGGACTGTAAGGTTCACCCCAAAATACATCCTCCAGACCAATTTCTCAGCAATGACTGACCCACATGTCACACCTCTATTAGTCCTTTGGCATAAAAATTCATCGACCACCCACGACTTCCAGTGCTGGACAAGCGTGGCACATCCAGGATGTCAGGGATTGTTCAGCAGGAGCAGCTCTGAGGTCCGACACTATCTTTGCTTTAGTTTCTGCTACAGAAAACTTCAAAGACAACTATGGCCACCCTGTCCCCCAATACCAGAACTTGTTGCTGGCCATTCCAATCCACCAGACACCGTTTGGGATTTGATTGTGCTGTTTCTCTATCTTTGTAAAAAGAAGTTTCCTGTATTTTGTGTTGAGAGTTACAAGTGGGAGAGAGGCATCCTGTCTTCCACCAGCACGGTGTCCGCTCCAAACTGGTCTGTGCACTGCTTCACGGTGGCCAGGACGCTGAGCAGTCGCTGGTCCACGGCGTCCAGGTGAAGGTCAGCGAGCACGGGCGCAATGGGGTCATGGGCCATGGCCGATTTTAAGGCAGACTTCAACACACCATTCTTCAGGTAGTTCAGTCTGTTCCAGGTAGAAACCCGAATGCTGGAAGGAAAAGGGTTAAAACAGATTACAGAAAACTTCTCACCGTCAAAAGGAGAGGTTGCTTAGCAAACAAAAGACAGAATGATGTAAAATAGCTCAACTAGAAAACTCATTAGTATTATTTTATTGTTGTTGTTTTTGCTGTGTGCCATCAAGCATGAATCAACTCATAGATGACCTTCCAGTGGGTTTTCAGAGCCTGTAAATCACACAGAAGGAGACTGCTCATTTTCCTTTCACAGAGCTGCGACTGATTTGAACTACATTTATACATTAGAAGCCAGTTTACTTCATTTTAATTTTTTCTGGGGAATTAATCTAAGGTATACATATTAGAGGAAAGGCTATTCCTTGAAAAAGGACATGATGATTGGGAAGGCAGAGAGTCAGTGAAAGAAGACCTTCATCCAGACAGAGTGACACAGTGACGGCAGCAGTGGGCGCAAGTATGCAGAGACAAGGAAGGCAAAGGACAGGCCAGGGTTCAAATCTATTGTTCACGGGGTCACTAAGATCTGTACTCAATTTTATGGCACCTAAAACAACAATACCTATTATACATGCTTATGTCAACTGCAGTGTTATTTGTATCAGAAAAAAATGGGAAATAATTAAATGTCCAACAATGTGGAACTTGTTAAATAAATCTGGGTCATTCATTCAAGAATACTAACGCAGCTTTTAAAACCATTTTTAAAAATTTGGTGTTATGAGAAAATACATATAACACAATGTTGAGTGGTAAAAAAAAGTTGGGGGGGGTGAGTGGAATCTGTTTTATTCCTTATCTGTGGGGAATTAAGATATGTTTATGTGTATCTGCATTTTTCTCTCTCATTGCCATGGAGTCAGAACCAACTCAAAGGTGACCCTGCCCTGGATTTCCAAAGCTCTCAGTCACACAGGAGGAGACTGCCCAATCTGCTCCCTAAGAGCCACTGGGGCAACCACCAGAGAGGCATGGTCCTTGGTTAACAGCGTTACGCACATAGATAATTAGAATAAGAAACACTAAGTTACTCTTATGCTAACAGGTAATTTTTACTTTCTTATTTATAAGAAAACGCCATATTACAAATGAGACCCATTCCCCAAGTGCGTCTTCAAATAGAATCCGTAGGTGAACTGGAACAGGTGCATACAGCTCTTACTTAGCCTTACTTTAGTGCAAGAAAAGGCTTGAAGCCTTCCAATGATTTAAAAGCTGCACATGCAGCAAGGAAAGGTAAGAGTGATGAAGAACTTGTTTCAACAGTAAAGGCAAGAATGACTTGCCTGTCAGTCAATTATTTGTACTGTACATGTTTTTGAGCTTAAAAAAATAAAAATCTAAAATTCTACCATTAATGTGGTAAACAAGAAAAAATATTTTAAGGACATTCACTTTCTTTCTTTTCTAAAGAATAAAAAAAAAAGATGATCTAAATTTTGGGGTTGGGAGAGTATATGGAATATACCACAGGCTGCCCTAAGAATGAACAGCTCTGTCCTGGAAGGAGTGCAGCCAGAATTCTCCTTAGCAGCAAAGATGCTGAGACAGACTGTGCACACACTGCCAGGAAGGACCAGTCCTTGGAAAGGACATCTTACTTGGTCAAGTGGAGGGTAATGACAACGAGGAGCTCCCTCAGTGAGATGGACTGACGCAGTGGCCACAATGGGTTCAAGCACACAGGGAGGCTGAGGACGGCACAGAGCCGGGCAGTGCTGCACCTGTTGTACGTGAGGTCACTACGTGTCACAGCCTGCACCTAGCAATGCTTCCCACCCACTACAAGGATCTCTATCTCAGCAGAAAATGCCTTTTTTCCTTCTTCAATCTAAAAAGATAATTTTTTTTATTCATTGTTGCACATTTTCTTCTCCCTTTTCCCCTAGAAAAGTCTTTTTGTTAAAATAATTACTCCTTTGTGAATAAGATGGGGATTACTAGATATGAAGAAAAGTCCGACCCTTTTATTAAAACTGAAGGAAAATCAATCTGTGTGTAAAGCATGGGGAGCGGTAGATAAGCACAGACGGGGTGTGACTTTGTAGTTTTAGATGGCCTAATAATTCTCAGGGAATCAGGGTGTCCTCTCTATAAACTCACCCTTCTAAGAGTGCTCTGCTACAATGTCTCCTCAGTAGAGGGCACTGGCAGGACACTGCAGGAGGAACTGGCTACCCTGCAGCGTGCATACTGGGTCTGCAGTGAGGACATCCAACAGAGTAAGTCTTCCCCAGTCACATGTGTAGAAAGCTCAGTCTCTCAGGTCTTATACCTCTGGTGTGTAGACAACCTTCATGAGGCCTCTGCATGAGGAAATCAGTACCGTGAAGGGCACAGGCCCACTTTGGAGCTGTAATCCCCCTGGAGGTGCCCAAGTATAGCCTGCCTATCGCCCAGAGGGTCAAGTTGCTGAGCTTGGGCCTCACCTGTGGACCAGATGAGGCCTGGGAAATCCTCACTGCTACCCAGCAGGTAGGCCCACACCTTGGGGAGAGAACCCCTTCCTCAGATAATCTTCCACAGCTTCATTTTCTCTTATCATATAAAAATGTAACCTACTGCTGTCAAGACCGTTCTGACGGAGCACCCCTATCAGCTTTCACAGGGTTTAACTGTAAGCAGGAGCCTTCACATATCCCTCCCACAGAGCTGCTGGTGTGTTCGAATCATCAGAGAGATGTGCTGCCTTTTGGTTAGCATTAGCAGCACAGTCACTCTTTGATTTATCAGAGTCTAATAACTCTTTACATTAAACTCACCTTGTTTAAAAGTATTATTTTTTTTTTATTTTTTTGAACAGATTGGGCTGATTGTTACTATAAAAGTAGCTTCCTTTTTCACCAAAGAAGACATTAGATGGCCAACACACACATGAAGAAATGTTCAAAATCCCTAGCTCTAAGAGAGATGCAAATTAAAACAACTATGAGATATTATCTCACAGCAGTAAGAATAGAAAAATTTAACAGAACAGCAAGCAACAAATGCTGGCGAGGTTGTGGAGAAACTGGAACCCTTATTCACTGTTGGTGGGAGCGTAAAATGGTGCAACCACTGTGGAAAGAAGTATGGCACTTTCTCAAAAAGTTGCAAATAGAAATACCATTTGATCCAGCAATTCCACTACTGAGAATTTACCCCAAAGAGACCATAACTGCCACCCAAGCAGATATATGCACACCAATGTTTATCATGGCTTTGTTCACAATTGCAAAGAGTTGGAAACAACCAAAGTGTTCATCAACAAACAAATGCATAGAGAAGCCATGGTATATTCACAAAATGGAATACTATGCTGCTTTGAAAAACAAGGAACTCATGAAATAGTATACAAAATGGGTGACTCTGGAGGACATTATGCTTAGTGAAATATCTCAGTCACAAAAGGACAAATACTGCATAATGCCACTGTTGTAAAATAGGGCTTGAGGGGATACTGAGAAAGAGGAGATAAATAATGTATACCGCATTGAATGAGATGAGGGAGAGAACTGTTTAAAAGGGCTATGTGAGGGTGCTCTGGTCGCCTAGTGGCAAGAAGCTGCACTGCAATCCCAGAGGTACAAAGTTTGATTCCACCAGACACTCTGCTGGAGAAGGAGGGACAATCTCCTCCTGTACCAGTCACACCTGATTTGACCGTGCACACACGCAAAATAATAAAATAAAAGAGATATGTGATTAGGTATTATTGTCATGATAGGAGTCCAGAACAAAAGGCTGCATAGTGGAGTGGACTTGGGAGAAGGATTGTATAACAATGAAAAGAATTTTTCTTTTCTTTTTTCAAAGAGAAGAACAAACTGGGGAGGAGGAGTGGGTGGGGAGAAAAGTGCAACAATGAATGAATGGAAATCCAAAGTCTCTGTAAAATTTCATTAAAATGAATTTTTTTAAAAAAGCACTTCCTAGGGGAGCTCTGGTGGCCTAGTGGCAAGGAGCGGCAACTACAATCCCAGAGGCGAACGGTTCGAATCCACCAGATGCTCTGCCGGGTAAGGAGGGACAATCTCCTCCTGTACCAGTCAGATCTGATTTGACGGTACACGCACACAAAAATAATAAAATA